TTCTCGAGACATAGTCAAACAAACAGGAATTTACATGGAAAACTCCTTTGTCTATTTTTCGTTAATCTGGGAATTGCAGAATTAGTGCAAGTTACAGCAAGAATAGATTTGTGGTTTCAGCAAGTGACAAGGACCAAATGATTGCGCCCAGAAGAGAACATCATCACTTTCTCTTCTTGAATCGAGTTATATTCTTCACAATTCAAGATGTTTAGGTTAGGGCGGCATTTCAAAGCAAAGTAAGTGTTGTTTGTTCTAGTCTTTGTTTAAAAGAGGTTTTCGCTTGTGATATTTGTATTAGGTCAATGAGCGACCGTGACCTCGTCAGTTGTTAATCACTGTGAAGAATTAGGGGTCAGCGGTATAGAATCTTAAATTCCAGCGTTTCAGGTAATGAATGGATTTCTTTGCTGATTTAATATCAGTCTCAAATTGAATAAAGAACGCTGTTTAAACTACTCAAACATACGTGAAATTAAAGTTTCAACATGCCTGGCTGATGCGACTTCCTCGTTTTTAGCAGACTACGAGTAAGGCGTCAGAGCGCCTCGCTGAAGAAACGTGTCGACTACGGACATTTTTTTATTCAACCTTTGCTCGCCTCTGTAGGTAAATTTCGTTAGTTTTCCGTGTTATTATAGGCTAATATAGTTTTCTAGCGCCACAGATAGAAATATGCTTCGTAAGCACATGCCCTAAGTATTCTTGCGATGTGATTATGTGTTTTGCTCACTCTAGATTACACAAAAGACCTCCTAGACGGGCAAATATTGACTCCACTATGGTGCCAAGCCGTTTGTGTTTATCATGTAAAATTTCACTTTAATAATATACGATTGGTGGTTTGATTACAGCCGAAAAAAGCCTTCTTCGGATTATTTTCTTCCAATTTCTTATGCACTTAGCACCTTAAGGGATTACATGGCACGTATGTCATTTAAAAACAAGTATTATTTCACAGGAAAGAATACAGGGTCGTGATCAAGGACTTGACGTTTGTTAAGCACTCTGTGGTAGCCAAGCTCTATCATTATCATCCGAATAGTTGTGACAATTTGATAAACAGGAAATTGTTATGATGCAAATTCCGTCCTTGTTTGGTGATGAGGAGCAGTTGATCACGATCAATTCGTATTGATAGACTGACTCTATATTGGGAGACAAACAATAAAACATCTATTAAGTTATCGAAAACGATGAAAAAAAACATATTCTCTAACAATAATGATAATAGTAATAATAATCTCACAAACTGCGTATTGCCTAGAGGAAACATAAATGAAATACGCAAGCATTGGTATTTATGTTTGCGATATGTTTATTAGGAAAATAATTAATGCTGTGATAAAAAATCAATTTCAAGGTTTTAGGTTTCCGCCTGTCGTGGCAGAAATTATTTCGCAGTTTTGCATTCTTGTTTTGATATTTGCTCTTGCATGTACAACATTATAGGTATTTCTAGATATTTTAGTTTACTTTCAAAACGTTAAACTACCTAAAATCTCTCACTTGAAGTCTAATGGAAGTATTGCATGCACAACTTCCCCTGCCAGCACAGACAGTTGCCTTCTTTCACCCGGTCACGCTATTCCATAGAAACCGGCGAGCAGCAGTTCTCGTCTGTTTCTAAGGATGTGGCGCCTTCCCATTGGTTGCCGTTGTCTTGCCTCGCCCAACTTATGTATTTGAACACACGTGTGAACAGTAATCGCAAGCTCTTCGCTGAAGTTAAGTCTTCCTTTATAACTAAGCGGTCAGAAGATGCTGAGAAGCCTTCTTTACTTTGTGACTATCGTTAAGATAACGGTACGTATAAGGTCAAAAACTAGAATTCCTTTAATTTGCTGGTAAGTCGATGTTGTTACATTTAACTCCAGCAACATAAAACTTGATGACTACAGCACAATTTCCACTTTATCATTTTCCCTGCTTTAACGCGAGTAACTCGTGCAACTGAGCGTGTTTCGTAACGACTTTGCCGATAAGAACAAACAAACGGGGGATAATTTAGGATTATATTAAAGTAGAACTCAGTAAACTGCATTAAACAACAATCAGAGGCGGTTTCAATTCACGCTAAATTCCTTCATAAACCACAAAAGTCTATTGATAGGAGTTTGAGGATCATAAACAGTGACGTGTTTAAAGGTTGTTCAGCTAGAAAATAATAAATAAGCCAATAACTTCGTTTTGCAAAGTTAAAAAACCGCTTAATTTTTTTTAATTCTTCGTTCGGCGTAATTTTAAAAAAGATGTGCGAGAGAATCTTTTTATGCTTGAATTCACAAGCGGCGCGCCTAAAATTTCCTTGCTTCAAATAAAATCACAATCTTGAACCTGGAAATCTAGACGCCGCGGCGATAGAATCGATCGGACTCGCAGTGCAAACAGAAATTAAATTACTCATTCTGTTTATCAAGCCACAAATAGAAGGAAATGTGCGTTAAAGACGACAAAGCAGTTTGCTGAAAACCACGATAGGCTTGCGCATTCTTACACAGGTATTTCGCCGGTTTGCGCGTTATTTTCATTCCTCGCACATGGCCAAAGTGCCTAATGATCGTTGACATGACTTCACTCTTATGACGATCTCCGCAGTGGGGTGATGGCTTTACGCCTTGCGGTTAAAATTTTGGCTATTTTATAGCAAACGATTAACTTCTTTCTGTACCTTTTTTTTAAGAATAACGGGTAAAATTTGTCACGCCTAACGGCTAAATGCTTTCCCCGTTTTACGGCTAAAATTTACCTTGTTTAGACCATCACTGTTTGTTTGTTGGCTCCTTTATGCATTTGACAAGGCAAATGATTTCTTGAGTTCCTGTCTGTTCTCGGGATCAATATTTTTCCCGGAGGAAAGTGTTTTGTCGATATTTTCCGTCTAACCCAGTTGCTCAGTAATTTGGTTAAATTGATATAACCAAATGCAATTTAAAATTCTCTCAAATTATGATTGCAAAGGAATCGAAAGTTAACCTAATGATATCGATTTACATTGGACTCAGAGAAGGTAAAAAGAGCCCGTAAATGCTTACATAATCCACACTATTTTTAGTATCGAGGACCCTTCTTCACTTCAGTGATTACCTACTCAGTTGTTGTAGATACTTTTCTTAAGGTGTTTACGTTTCGTTACGTTACCTTCTTGTTGATCGACCACAAGCGATAGAGGATCGTTCCCTCTAACAAAAATTGTGCATTTTAAAGACAGTGTATAACTTATTGTCGCCGAAATTATAAACAAACAGAACGGAACAAAATAGCTACAATTCCTCTCGTCGGTTAAACCCGACATATAAAAAGACAAGATTCAATCGCGAATGGACTTGCGTGTCTTGTCGCAATCAGTTTAATTAGCATATCAGTGACTGGTTAAGATGGCGTGAGAAATGGCCTCGCTCATTAGAGTTCAATTAGCATGAAAGATATGCAAATCTGCGAACAATATTAATCACTGTTTGACAGTGTTTTATAAACAATGGCAAAAGGACAGTTAAGTGCCTGTGTTTAGATGGCCACCCTTTTTCCTCGGAGGCGCCATTTAAGTAAATTACAGCATTTTAATTAAAAAAAGAGCTGTCGTGATCCCGATAACAAATAGGACATTAAAAGGTCTGATCCGCATAGATTCCTCATAATTGCCCCAATAATGCGTAAATTCTACCTCAGGAGAAAGTCAAAGACATCATTCATCGTGTGCTAGGTTCCACTTCAATGGCTTCTATAGCAGCATTAATGTTTATATAAAAAGCTCAGAGCTTAGCAGTGCAATGTTTAAAAATGAAATATTTGCTGAGGGTAATTAAAAAATACATAAGAAATGTATTCTGAAAGTTAATCGAGATTGTTCAAGGTGACGATGTTATGACAAAACTACTTTTCATTTATGGGGTGGTGGCTTTTGCGCCTTACGACGCCGCTGTGCCATATATGTCTTTTTCAAATATAGATTTGCAATTAAGAGTGAGTGGTAAGGTCGCCGGCGTCAAACAAACATTGATAAGTTATGACAACAAAAAGATTGCTCAGTTTATTGTTACTTCTTGTTAAATAAATTTTACTAAAAGGAACATTAACACCTTATAAATGGACATTGTTAATTCAGAGTGCACACTGATACCGTTTTTCTGCGATTCAGCAGCTTCACTGAATAACAGAGCTGTTGTGAGAGGTTTTCATCGTGAGTAGTAAGGTTCGTATCTAGATGAGAATTTAATGGATTTTGATACGGGTCTCATCAAGCTGTGAGGGCGTTAAACACTTTTTAAGTATTGTTATAGCTTAGCACTGTTCTCAGCTAAATTACACTGATTCTTGAGATGTCTCGACAAAGCTAGAATTATTCTAGATCATCATTCGGTAAACGGACGTAATGAATTGTATTTTCCTTCTTATAAAGATTGATTCCTCTCTCTCCACTTTATGCGGGAACGTACGATTCTATTAAGTCATCCGGTTAGAAAATTTTATGAAAAAATTATAAGTAAAAAACAGGAAATTGAATTTCCTGTTTTTTAATCCAATTTTTATGGCCCCTGAAACACTTGGAGTGTGTCCATCGAAGTCGAATTTCCAAAGCAATTACTCTGAGGCAAAAGTCGTATGAAATAAAACGTGGACAATTTCAATGGTTTACTTAGTACTCTCGGTCCCTATTCACAATTTCAAGGTTGCATATGATATTAGATACATATGTGTAAACGATCAATATGTACCCAATAAAAGAATCATTCCTAGCGCACGTGAAATGTTTGTTCTTACAGGGTATTTTTTCCCAAACTTAGTCAAGTATGGCAGATACTTGACTACATAATATATATACTATTCTTATATACTATACTCGACAGTCACGTGCAACGGTCTGTGCCGTACTTTCCCGATGACCACAAATCGTCGTTCCGCAATTAACGGATAGATAATAGTTTTCACCTTCGTAGTGGTTAAGTCATCAGTGTTAAAGGATTTAATTCAATTGGCAGAAATTGATATGTTTGAGAAGTGTGGCGTTATTTTCTTCGTACGATTCATAACAACATTCACATCACTGTTGGTAAGTAAATCGAGTTGCATGTAAACATTTATTTTCTTGAGATTCATCACAGCCAGGTTGGTTTTCTACCTCTACAAAGTTGAATCACGATGTTCTTTAGGTATGACACTTCACTACCTGTTCACACATGTTGGTAACACAGTCCTTGATTCTCTGAAATTTATATTTTGGCAATACATAACAATTTTGTCACAACTGAGAAAAGGAAGTGGATGGTTATTGATACTGGAATCGGAGACGCCACATGATATTTCGAATGAACAGATCGGAAACAATGCCTAAATTCCTCGATTTCAACGACCTGTTGAAGAATAAAATGAACGGGAATTGAGAAAATAGACTAAAACGAAAGGGATTAGTTATTTCAGCTTCAAATAAACCAATTGTTTTCTGAATTTAAATTTGTCATTTAGCATCTTTTCGACTTTGCCCATCCGAAACGTATCAACTTTAAATGGATGTGGCTTTGATTGCCAGAGAGCTCTCCATTCCCTACTTTTTATTTGCATTATCTTTCCGTTCAAGGAATGCTTATTCAGAAAGGTTTATCATCGCCTGTCGTAGTAAAGTCAAAGTCCAACTGTATTTGCATATGTGCTCAAGTGTTTTGAATACGATAGTGGAAAGCAAATCACAAAGCACGACTTCTCTTGGATATATCACTTAGGAAATCATTAGATGTTGAAGAAAACTAGATTCTTTAGTATGTTCTATGGTCATTGTCAAGGTAACGCTATACATCTCAACGTGTCTAACCAGAGTTGTTAGTCGACGCAGCCGTACTACAAAAGATAAAAAGTTGATGACGGCAGCACAATTTGTCTTAAGTCCTTCTCACGCGAGAAAATCAATCAATTTGGTACATTTCTAGTGGAATTATGTACGTTTAAAAGCGTCTGAAGGTATAGGAGGTCTAATCAAATAAGGAAACAATTTTGTGAGGTTTTTGACCGCCGCTTTATCATGCGTCAGCCGTGTTTTGTCTTGCCATATACGCGTACAAGAATGCAACGAAAGTAGGCATGTAATGCTTGAGCGAACCCTCGATGTCAAATTAAATTGGTCGGGGGTCTGGTATCTACTTTTTGTCAAATCTAAAATTTGATTAAAGAGGAAACATAAGATTCAAATCTATAACATCAATCACAAAGTGGCTATAGAGAGATTCCTAAGTTTATTGTATGATAAATTAACAATTTGTTTACCCTTTACGATGGCCGCCACAGTAATCAATAAATATATAGAAACATCTGAAAACTGATTTATCCGTGAGTGTAGGCGAGTGGACGTGTTTCATCTAAAGGGGCAATTGATAACCATCAATTAGCTTCAAGGTTGAAAAGACATCATTGTCATCTTTAAAAGTACTCTTGCGGCAAACAGCCTCTAGGTGTCCATTGTCTCAGTCAATGAAAAGCGGTCTTCTAGGACCCGCAACGGGTTTACGACAAAGGATTTCGGCAAGAGAGCTTGGAAACTTGCGGCTCTTGACTCTTTACGAGCGGTAGACATAAAAATCAAAGAAAACTGCAATACAAAGAGCGATTGACACCTTAAGTTTTCAACAGGTTTTCAGGCAAAGTAGTTGGGAAAGCCTATAACCGTTTTTGCTGAGCATACTAACAAATTACAAAAATTAACCAGCCGTAAAAAGCGAAGACGAGACCGAGGAAAAAAAATAACGGCTTGCTTGCCAGAAATAGGATTTCGAGAGGCTGTAATCGTGAGTGTTAATTTGTCCGGCGCACGGCTGAGTGATGGAGGAAAACTAATTGTCCGCTTAATTATTCTTAAGGTAAATATTACCGGTAAGAACTTAAAACCCCTTAAAATGAAGACAGTATTTCAGAATAGGCACAAACTGATACCGCTTTTCATCGACGGGGTGTTTTAATTTGAAAAAGCATCGCTGTTCAAAAAAAAAATTTTCACACCGCTGATAAAACACGTATCCAGCAGAGAATGTTAGACCACAACGGCAACGGCAAAGGGAACGTCACCAAACAAAACGCTTAATGAGCACCTGAACAATATTAATGGCTGCGCACGTTCGTTCTAAATCTTTGTAAATTTCTCCGCTTCCTCTGTAAAACATCAACCTGAAATAACCAAACTTTGCGTTGTCTGGCGAACACGAACGACAACGGCTAAATTTTTATACTACTATTTCAAATTAAATGCTGTGTTCCATATTCAGTTTCTAGATAGCTTTTGCAGTGAGAAACAAACTAAATACCCTAAGAGTATCGCGAGATTCGTGGGTAAAATGTAAGTTCAATTATAACTGACGTTGTCCACGGAGTCGCCGTCGTCCTTTCTTCAATTCCATAATGACTTTCCGATACGGGTGCCGATATCAAGATCACGCGACACAGAAAAAAAACATGTCATTAAAAGCTTTCTAATTGAGTCCCTTTGTTATTTTTGTTTCGCATTCGCGTTGCGCAGATATTGCTGGAGTTTTTTGTGCGAACAAAGTCTGATAACAAAGAGTAGGCGATGTAATATCATTTCCGTTTTTGATGAGCTTGTTTGTTTGTTTGATTGCTCTTCTGTGCATTTGAAGAAGGTAAGTAGTTTCTTGAGTTCCTGTCGGTTCACAGAATTTATATTTTTTCCTTCAGATAAATGTTTTGTATATAATTTCTTCAAAGAGAATTTCTAACCCAGTCGCTCAGTCATTGGGTTAAATTGATTAAATCACATATAATTTTTAATTCAATCAAATTATAAATGCAAGGGAATAGAAAATAACCTAATGATATCAATAAACATTGGACTCAGAGATGTTAGAAACAGCCAGTGACTGGTTGCAATCGTCTGAATTAGCATATTAATTGTTTGCGATAGCGTGAGAAATGTTTATTAGGGTCCAATTAGTGTGAAAGGCGTGCATATCTACGAACAATATTAATCACCTTTTGGTTGGGTTTTATAAACAAAGGCAAAAGGAAAGTTGCATGTGTTAAAACGACAGCCTTTCTTTCACGGAGGCGCCGTTTTGGCAAATTACAACATTTTATAGAACAAAGTGCTGTCATGATCCAGATAACAAATAGAACATTAATTGGTCTCATTCACATTAACAATGCGTAAGATACGTTTTCTGAAAGCCAGTCAAGAATGCTCAAGCTATTTCTGGTAGCACTTTGCGAGGGGACAATATTATGACAAAATTTTTTTTTATTATTAGCTGGGAACATTCTGAGGTGCGCCAAAATAACATTCGACGGTGCTGAGCAAGCATTTCTTCATCGCCGCTGTGCCATTTAATATAAATTTGCAATTAGGAGTGGGTAGTTAGGTCGCTGGCACAAAATAAACATTGATAGGTTATGATAACAAAAGAGATTGCTCGGTTTGTTGTTACTTGATAGATGAATGTTACCGATAGGTACATTAACACCTTAGAATAGACACAGTTAGATACAGGAAATTTGTAGGCGATTAATATGAACCCCATAAAAGAACCCTTCCTAGTACACGTGAACTATTTGTTCTCACAGGATTTTTTTTTTAAACTTAGTCAAGTATGGCAAATTAAAGGCGTCCGGTCTGACACCTTACTCTGACTAGCTCTCTCTATATACGCACGTGCTAAGGACTGTGCCGTACTTTTCCTGATGACCACACGTTGTCTAATCCGCAATTAACGGATAGATAATAGTTTCCACCTTCGTCGTGGTTAAGTCAGCAGTGTTCGAGGGTTTAATTCAATTGCCAGAAATTGATATGTTTGAGAAGTGTGACGTTCTTTTCTTCGTACCATTCATAACAACATTCACACCACTATTGGTGAGTAAATCCAGTTGTATATGAACATTCATTTTCTTGAGATTCAGTCACAGCCAGGTTGGTTTTTCCTTCTATAAAGTTGAATCATGATATTCCTTTAATATAACACTTCACCACTTGTTCACTTATGTTGGTAACACAATTCATGATGCTCTGGGTGATACATAACAATTAACTGTATTCCTCGGTTAACAATACAGATAAACTATTTTAAAACAACGCGCTCTTCAGTTAAGCATGTCGATGGGACATGTTTATAATTAACAGCGACTTTTTCTTGAGTAGCTTTGTCGCCGGCAGGTTTTTTTGATGACATTTACAAATCTTCTCAACGCTAAGCCGTCTTTGTTGTCCCTTTCCCGAAAACTGTTATTATAAGCTTTCCTTCTAAAGATCCTAAAAATAGCAGAAAAGTAACTCAGTTTTATCTCAAGAAAAAAAAGTGGGTAGTTCTTGATATTGGAACCGGAAAGGCCACAAATATTTAGAATGAACAGATCAAAAACAACGAGTGAAGGTTGCATATAGTATCAGGTACAGTGAATTTTTAGACGATCAATATATACCCAATTAAAAAAAGAATTCCTAGTACACGTGAACTGTTGTCGATACAGGAATTTTTTCCTCCAAACTATGGCAAATTTAAGGTTTCCTGTTCGACAGCTTTGTATGCCTGGCTCTTTATTTGTAAGATACGAATTATGTACGTTTTGAAAGTTTCTGAAGGTAGGAGGTCTTATAAGATGGGGAAACAATTTTATAAGGTTTTTGACCGCCGCATTATCACGCGTCAGCCGTGTTTTGTCTCACCATTTACGTGTACAAGAATGCAACGAAAGAATGCATATAATATTTGAGTAACCCTTAATGTCAATAGTTGGACGGGTTTTCAAATCTAAAATTATATCGCTTCAAAACGGCTCTCTATCGGATTATTATTGGTTGCTTAAAGAGAAAACATAAAGTTTAAATTTATAACATAAATGAACAGATGAACAGTTATTGCTCTCGTCACTCTTCGGATAATTACAGAAACACATGCTCGAAAGAGACCAAAAGCGTTTGCTGTTTTCCTGAGTGGTCCTTCATCTGACAAATAAGTCAAGGCCAATGAACCGCATCGTTTTGAAAACGCTCCACTTTTGAAGGCGTTTTCAGAACGACCCGTTTCTGATAACGAACTCGACCGGCGCCGTGTAAACGAAAGGCGTAACCGCATCGAAACCGATGCGGATACAAATGAAACCGCGTCCCTGTAAACAGTGCCTGATTTATCCCTGAGTGTCGGCGAGTGGACGTGTTTCATCTAAAGTCTATAACCGTTTTTGCTGAGTATACTAACAAATTACAAAATTAATGAGCCTTAAAAAAGCGCAGACAATACAGAGTCAAGTTAAAAAAAAATTTAAAAAATAAAATAAATAAAAAATAACGGCTTGAGTACAAAAAATAGAATTTTACGAGGCTATAACCGTGGGTGCTTATGTGTCCGGCGCACTGTCGAGTGATGAAGGCAAACTAATTAATTGTTCGCGTAATTAATGCTTAAGGTAAGTATTTACCGGTGAGGACATAAAATCCCTTAAAATTTTGACAGTATTTCTCAATACGTAGAAACTGATACCACTTTTCATTGATGGGGTGTTTTAATTTGAAACAGCTAAGCTGTTGGAAAAAAAAATTTAATCCCGGATAAAACATGTATCCAGCATGGAACGTAAGAAAACCAAGACGGCGACGGCAACGGGAACGTCACCGAACAAAAGGCTTTAGTAGCAGCTGAACAATGGCTGCGCACGTTCGTTCTAAATATTTGTAAATTTCTTCGCGTCTTCTGCAAAACATTAATCCGAAATAACTAAACTTTGTGTTGTCTGTCTTTTAAAATTATATTTCAAATTCAACGCCGTGTTACATATTCAGTTTCTAGATAGCTTTTATAGTGAGAAACAAACTAAATACCCTAAGAGTATCGCGAGATTCGTGGGTAAAATATAGGTTCAATTTTAACTGACGTTGTCCACCGCGTCGCCGTCGTCGTTACCTAAATTCCCCAACGACTTTCCGATACGGGTGCAGATATCAAGATCAAGCGACGCAGACTAAACATGTCATTAGATGCTTTCTTATCGAGTTCCTTGTTAATTTTATTTCGTATTCGGGTTGCGCAAATATTGCTGGACTTTTTTTGCGAACAAAGTCTGATAACAAAGAGCAAGCACTGAAATATCATTTCCGTTTTTGTTGAGCTTGTTCGTTTGTTTGTTTGCTCCTTTGTGCATTTGACAAAGGTAAATAGTTTTCTGAGTTCCTGTCTGTTCACGGAATTAATATGTTTTCCTTCAGATAAGTGTTTTGTATATATTTTCTTCAAATAGAATTTCTAACCTAGTCGCTCAGTAATTGGGTTAAATTGATTAAATCACATGTAGTTTTCAATTCAACTAAATTATGAATGCAAGGGAATCGAACATAATCTAATGATATCAATAAACATTGGACTCAGAGATGTTAGAAACAGCCAGTGACTAGTTGCAGTCGATTTAATTAGCATACTAATTGTTGCGATAGCGTGAGAAATGTTTTTTAGGGTCCAATTAGTGTGAAAGGCATGCATATCTGCGAACATTATTAATCACCTTTTGGTTGGGTTTTATAAACAAAGGCAAAAAGAAAGTTAAGTGTATGTGTATGTGTTAAAATAACAACCCTTTTTTTCTCGGAGGTGCCGTTTTGGCAGATTACAACATTTTATAGAACAAAGTGCTGTCATGATCCAGATAACAAATAGAACATTAATCGGTCTTATTCACATTGACAATGCGTAAGATACGTTCAGTCTCAAAGCTAGTCAAGAATGTTCAAGCTATTTCCGGTAGCACTATGCGAGGGGACACTATTATGACAAAAATTTTTTTGATTGTCAGCTGGGAACATTCTCGGGTGCGCCAAAATAACATTCGACGGTGCTGAGCAAGCATTTCTTCATCGCCGCTGTGCCATTTAATATAAATTTGCAATTAGGAAAGGGTAGTTAGGTCGCTGGCACAAAATAAACATTGATAGGTTATGATAACGAAAAGGATTACTCAGTTTGTTGTTACTTGATAGATGAATGTTAGCGATAGGAACATTAACACCTTAGAATAGACACAGTTAGATACGACTTTGCTGATAAGAACAAACAAACGGGGAATAATTTAGGATTATATTAAAGTAGAACTCAGTAAACTGCATTAAACAACAATCAGAGGCGGTTTCAATTCACGCTAAATTCCTTCATAAACCACAAAAGTCTATTGATAAGGGTTTGAGGATCATAAACAGTGACGTGTTTAAAGGTTGTTCAGCTAGAAAATAATAAATAAGCCAATAACTTCGTTTTGCAAAGTTAAAAAACCGCTTAATTTTTTTTAATTCTTCGTTCGGCGTAATTTTAAAAAAGATGTGCGAGAGAATCTTTTTATGCTTGAATTCACAAGCGGCGCGCCTAAAATTTCCTTGCTTCAAATAAAATCACAATCTTGAACCTGGAAATCTAGACGCCGCGGCGATAGAATCGATCGGACTCGCAGTGCAAACAGAAATTAAATTACTCATTCTGTTTATCAAGCCACAAATAGAAGGAAATGTGCGTTAAAGACTACAAAGCAGTTTGCTGAAAACCACGATAGGCTTGCGCATTCTTACACAGGTATTTCGCCGGTTTGCGCGTTATTTTCATTCCTCGCACATGGCCAAAGTGCCTAATGATCGTTGACATGACTTCACTCTTATGACGATCTCCGCAGTGGGATGATGGCTTTACGCCTTGCGGTTAAAATTTTGGCTATTTTATAGCAAACGATTAACTTCTTTCTGTACCTTTTTTTTAAGAATAACGGGTAAAATTTGTCACGCCTAACGGCTAAATGCTTTCCCCGTTTTACGGCTAAAATTTACCTTGTTTAGACCATCACTGTTTGTTTGTTGGCTCCTTTATGCATTTGACAAGGCAAATGATTTCTTGAGTTCCTGTCTGTTCTCGGGATCAATATTTTTCCCGGAGGAAAGTGTTTTGTCGATATTTTCCGTCTAACCCAGTTGCTCAGTAATTTGGTTAAATTGATATAACCAAATGCAATTTAAAATTCTCTCAAATTATGATTGCAAAGGAATCGAAAGTTAACCTAATGATATCGATTTACATTGGACTCAGAGAAGGTAAAAAGAGCCCGTAAATGCTTACATAATCCACACTATTTTTAGTATCGAGGACCCTTCTTCACTTCAGTGATTACCTACTCAGTTGTTGTAGATACTTTTCTTAAGGTGTTTACGTTTCGTTACGTTACCTTATTGTTGATCGACCACAAGCGATAGAGGATCGTTCCCTCTGACAAAAATTGTGCATTTTAAAGACAGTGTATAACTTATTGTCGCCGAAATTATAAACAAACAGAACGAAACAAAATAGCTACAATTCCTCACATCGGTTAAACCCGACATATAAAAGACAAGATTCAATGGCGAATGGACTTGCGTGTCTTGTCGCAATCAGTTTAATTAGCATATCAGTGACAGGTTAAGATGGCGTGAGAAATGGCCTCGCTCATTAGAGTTCAATTAGCATGAAAGATATGCAAATCTGCGAACAATATTAATCACTGTTTGGCAGTATTTTATAAACAATGGCAAAAGGACAGTTAAGTACCTGTGTTTAGATGGCAATCCTTTTTCTCGGAGGCGCCGTTTAAGTAAATTACAGCATTTTAATTAAAAAAGAGCTGTCGTGATCCCGATAACAAATAGGACATTAACCGGTCTGATCCGCATAGATTCCTCATAATTGCCCCAAGAATGCGTAAATTCTACCTCAGGAGAAAGTCAAAGACATCATTCATCGTGTGCTAGGTTCCACTTCAATGGCTTCTATAGCAGCATTAATGTTTATATAAAAATCTTAGAGCTTAGCAGTGCAATGTTTAAAAATGAAATATTTGCTGAGGGTAATTAAAAATACATAAGAAATGTATTCTGAAAGTTAATCGAGATTGTTCAAGGTGACGATGTTATGGCAAAACTATTTTTCATTTATGGGGCGATGGCTTTTGCGTCTTACGGCGCCGTTGTGCCATATATGTTTTTTTCAAATATAGAGTTTCAATTAAGAGTGGGTGGTAAGGTCACCGGCATCAAACAAACATTGATAAGTTATGACAACAAAAGGATTGCTCAGTTTATTGTTACTTCTTATTAAATAAATGTTACCGGTGGGAACGTCAACACCTTATAAATGGACACAGTTAATTCAGAGTGCACATTGATACCGTTTTTCTGTGATTCAGCGGCTTCACTAAATAACAGAGCTGTTGTATGAGGTTTTCATCGTGAGTAATAGGATTCTTATCCACCTGAGAATTAAATGGCTTTTGACACGGGTGTGTACATAAAAATCTCATAAAGCTGTGAGGCCGCTAAACACTTGTTAAGTACCCATATAGTTTAGCACTGTTCTGTTTCCAAAACAATTATTCTGTGAGGCACAATTCGCATTGAATAAAACGTGGACAATTTCCATGTCAAGGTTTACCTAATACTCTCGGTCCCTTTTCACAATTTCAAGGTTGCATATGATATTAGGTACAGGAAATTTGTAAACGATCAATATGTACCCAATAAAAGAATCATTCCTAGCGCACGTGAAATGTTTGTTCTTACAGGATGTGGTTTTTTTCTTCCAAACTTAGTCAAGTATGGAAAATTAAATATTTGACTACGTATTATATATTCTATACTTATACATTATACTTGACAGTCACGTGCAGCGGACTGATCCATACTTTCCCGATGATCACACATCGCCGTTCCGCAATTAACGGATAGATGATAGTTTTCACCTTTGTCGTGGTTAAGTCATCAGTGTTAAAGGATTTAATTCAATTGTCAGAAATTGATATGTTTGGGAAGTGTGGCGTTATTTTCTTCATACGATTCATAACTACATTTACACCACTTTCGGTGAGTAAATCCAGTTGCATGTGAACATCAGTTACTTTCTTGAGATTCTGTCACAAGCATGTTGGTTTTTTTACTTCTATAAAGTTGAATCACGATGTTCCTTAGGTATGACACTTCACTACTTGTTCACACACGTTGGTAACACAGTCCTTGATTAACGATACAAATACTCTTTTGAAAGAACGCTCTCTTCAAGCAGGTCGACGGGACACGAATATTAGACATGTACAATTATATCTTCTCAACGCTAAGCCGTCCTTCCTATCTCCTTACCGAAAACTGAGTTGTTAGCCTTCCTTCCATGAGCCAAAAATTTCTAGCAATCCTGAAAATAGCAGAAAAGTAACTACCACATCCGTATCAACCTTATATCAATATAGCTTTGCTTGTCAGAGACCTCTTCATTCTCTACCTTTTATTTCCATAATCTTTCCGTTCAAGGTATGCTTATACAGAAAGGCTTATCATCGCCTGTCGTAGTAAAGTCAAAGTCCAACTGTATTTGCATATGCGCTCAAGTGTTTCGAATAAGACAGTCGAGAGCAAATCATTAAGTACGACTTCTCTTGGATATATCACCCAGGAAATCATTGGATGTTGAGGGAAACTAGATTCTTTACTTTGTTTTATAGTCATTGTCAAGATAACGGTATACATGTCCACGCGTCTAATCAGAATTGTTCGTCGATACAGCCGCCAGTACTCAAAGACAAAAGATACTGAAAAGTTGATGACGGCAGCACAATTTGTTTTAAGTCCTTCTCACGCGGAAAAATCAACCAATTTGGTACATTTCTAATACGAATTACGTACGTTTAAAAGCGTCTGAAGGTATAGGAGGTCTTATCAAATAGGGAAACAATTTTCTAGGGTTTTTGACCGCCGCATTATCATGAGTCAGCCGTGTTTTGTGTTACCATGTACGTGTACAAGAATGCAACGAAAGAATGCATATAATGTTTGAGTGACCCCTTGAAGTCAATAGTGGACGGGTTGCCAGTTTTTATATTTTGTCAAATCTAAAATTATATCGGCTCAAAACGGCTCTCTATCGGATTAACATTTCGAGGGGCTATAATCAAAAGTGTTCACGTCTCCGGCGCACGGTTGAGTAATGAAGGCAACCTAATTGTTACGGTTTAAGGTAAATTTTACCGATAAGTACATTAAACCCCTTAAAAAAACAAATTACGGCGTACGTGCCAGAAATAGCATTTCGAGAGGATATAATCGTGAGTGTTTAAGTCTCTGGTGCACGGTTGGTTGATGAAGGCCACCTAATTGTTGCTTAGTTACTGCTTAAGCAGTAAAATTTAGACGGTATTTCATAGTACGTACAAACTGATATCGTTTTTCATCGAAGGGGTGTTTAAATTTTGAAGAGCATCGCTGTTGAAAAAAAACTTAAATATCACTGATAAAACACGTATCCTGCAGAAAATATTAGAAAACCACGACGGCGAAGTCAACGGGAACGTCACTGAACAAAAGGCTTAAAAGTAGCTGACCAATGGCTGCGTACGTTCGTTCTAAATATTTGTAAATTTCTTCACGTTTCCTGGGAAACATCAAAAGAAAAGAAAAGGGCCGGGGTTTTCCCTAAAAAAATGCGCCATCTAGTCTCTGATTAGTCCAAGGCAGAATGGTTGATCCCAGTTTTGCCTCATTTAGCATATTTAATTGATCATTGAATCATGCATCTACTCATGTTCCAAATTCAACAAGAACAGTTTAACAGAGAGACCGCTTCACATCGTATTTGATAATACGTTAAACTCAGAGACCCTCAACATGTGTACGTTCCTCGTGATTTGGTCAATTTTTCTAGCGAGAGCTGCAATATCGGTATGTTTCTGATGTTTTGAATTGCTATCTCTTCTACTCATGTTTGCAAAACGTGTTCATTTTCTTAGGCGGGGTATCAATAGCAACACCGCCATTTCGCCACCCGTTCAAGTTGACTCCTAAACTTCGGTGAAAAATTCTCCCCTCGAAATCCCTCATATTTCTTAACTAAATTAGACAAGATAATTTAATGTTATGTCAAAATAACATCCTTCAGTTGATAAGTCTGATTGTTCTCTTTGTGCGTTTGCAAGATAAAATATCGGAATCGTAAGGAAAAAAAAAGATGTCAATCTCTGCAAGGAATTAATGGTCAACGTTCTAGAATCATAAGATCTAGAGATCCAGCGTTTGAGGTAATACATTGTTTCTTTTTTCAGACGTTAACATCAGTCTCAATCGAATAAAGAAAGCTATTTAGGCCACACAAGAATGCGTGGCATGAAAGTTTTACCATGCTTGGCTGATGCAATTTCCTCTTGAGTAGGGCGTCATAGCGCTTTCCTGTAGGAACGTGTCGACTGTGGACATTTGTTTATTCTATCAGACCTCCCAGATGGACAAATATTGACTCCACTTTGATGCCAAGCTGTTGGTTTTCATATGAATCGTGTAGAGTGGTACTTTAATAATTTACGATTAGGGGTTTGATTAAAGCTGGAAAAAGCCATAGTCGGATTATTTTTTTCCAACTTCTCATGCACTTCGCACTTCAAGGGATTACACAGCGCGTATGACATTTCAAAAGAAATATTATTTAACAAGAAAAAAAAACAGTGTCGTGACTTAGGACTTAACGCTTGGTTACTGCTCTGTGGCGGCCGAGTTCTCGCCTACGTGTAGCCGCACCCTCCTCCCGAACGAAAACCTGACACTAACCTATTCAATGACGTCACTCTAATCTATGCAAAATTATGTAACTTGAAAATACTTCTTGCTTGCTAGCCAGAACGGTAATCGAAGTAAACACAATTCAAGTGAAGTCATTTTCCACCGTTTCGGGCAAATTTGCAATTTATTATCCGCGTTCAATTGTATACTTTGTTTTCAGGATATAGAAAAAATTTTAGGCGATATTTGTTCGATTAGCATCGAGCTTACACGAAACCAGATTTCATTCAACGTCCACGCGGTTTCTGCTTACATTTAAATGAAGACAGTGCCGCGGTTGTCTAAAAAAGTGGAATCATTTGCCGCAGAATCTCAAGGTTTACAGATTTCTTTAAGAGATAGTTGGGCTGCACGTGTGAAGAAAGAGCGACTCATTTCTCAGTCGATGGGATCGCTGCAAGAAACATGAGATTCGCAGCACCGAGAGTTGAAGGCGGACAATCCTCTTGGCCCAAGTTCATTAGGATAGTGCACCTGGTCTTCCATAAGCGCTTTAACGAGCGGTACAATAAATATGGGGAACAGTTTCTTCTAGAGAAGAGAGGCGATCGATCTCTGGTGCGGCTTGATATATCGAAACATCACAGTCACGATCAATGTCAGGTTTTCATGTTAATTCTCCCCACTAGCTGCTACACATTTCCTTGTAAATTAGTAATGAGAACTCGGTGCTAAATCAAGATGACAACTTCTACCTGATAAGTTTGAATATTTTCATTACCTGTTTGCTGAATAATGTATGGATAATCTAGGGAGAAGTTTCATGTTAATCACTCCTGGAAGTTAGAGTTAAGGGGGGAGGGTACAGAAGTGACAACTTGTTTAGATAAATGCCCCAGACTGTGTCACTTCAACAAAATAATTGAAGCCGTAGTCCGACAAAAAATTTTTTTAAGTTTTTAAATTTCGTTACGTTTGTTCTAAGTTGCCGGGGCATTTAGTAAAAATAAAATGTCGAGTTTACAAGCAAAATGGCTAAGAATTCACGTGGGAATGCGGCTGGTAGAAGCAAAGCCCAGTGCATCGAAGCAAAGCCCATTATATCTGAAAGCTGATCAAGTGTCTCGGTATTGTGCCAGATTGATATACCTGCTTAACCATTTTCAATTTTATTATTATTTTTTTTTTATTATTTATCTTTTTAAATTTCTTTTTAGTTCGCAGCCGGTGATTGCCCAGATAATTATTTCTGGGATGGTCAAAAATGCAGCGCATGCTCAGGTTGCACCCTTGGGTTTGGTTTGAAGGAACCTTGCTCAAAAACCAACAACACTGAATGTCAACCTTGCTTTCCTGGCTATGATTACTCGAACAGCACAGGGATGGAGGAGTGCATAAAGTAAGTTGGTGTTATGTCATGTTTCTCTTATAATATTGTACATAACGTTACACTCTAAATCCTGCTTATTACTCTGTCAAACGCTTCATCTATCTTTTCCTTCTTTGTCTCCTGTTCTTACAACACGTTGTCTTCTTTACGTTCTTTTCCTTTAAACTAAACATATCACGCTATAATGGTTAGAGCACAATTTTACCTCTTATTTTTTCTATTTTGTGAACGCGACACGAGGCTAAAAGGATGCGAAGATAGTTTTTCGACAAGCCTTTTGGTAAACTTTTGCAATGAAACCTTCTTAAATTGATTATTATTCAAAGTAAATCTAGTTCATTGTAATATTTAAGCTTTCTACCCTAAAGGTACTATTTTCCTTCCTTTATTTAAGGTGTGATACATACTCCAACTGTTTACCCGGACGATCTAAAAAGATAACAAAGTGCACAATTTTTTCTGGACACACTTGCGATGGATGTGAAGACGGATACTATCACCACCAAGGCGTTGGCTGTGATAAGTGTTCGCCTAAATGTGATGCTATGACCGAGGACGAAATACAGGCATGCAAAACTGAGCATAACCGCGTTTGTGCACCAAAACGAGTTTTGCCTAAAACTCCTCCTGCCTTCAGTAATGTGAAGAAGGACGGATGTGAAGAAGGATACTATTACCGCCAAGACGTTGGCTGTGATAAGTGTTCACCTAAATGTGATGCTACGACTGAGGATGAAATACAGGCATGCACAACTAAGCAAAATCGCGTTTGTGCACCAAAACGAGTTTTGCCTAAAAATCCTCCTATCCTCAGTAAGTTAATTCACTTCCATTTGTTTCGATACTTAGAAACACAACTTTTGAATGAAGGATTAGAAATGTTTCTCCTTCAGATGACAATCCTTTTTTGAAATTCGTGTGCTTAGTTCAGTTCTTTGCAATCTTTGGTACTAACTGAATGGTTTCTTTATTTGGATCTAAGCTTTCATATTTTGTTTATTTTGATTGATTATTGTTCGCTTCATTTTTGTCTTTAAGGTAATGACTCAAAAGGAAGTCATCCTAACAACACTACCAATGACAAGGATGACGAGATACCATTAATTGGTCCTGAGCGGGGAGAATCTAAAACAAATCAGCCACAAGAGGAAAATTTAATCGTTGGAAAGCTGTGGCCTTGGCTTCTACTCGTGGTGATGGTAGTACTAATGGTCACATCGATAGGGCTTTATAAAAGAAGTCGAAGAAATCGTCCAACCCAACCAGAAGGCGATGTCAATACACAAAACACAGAAGAGAACATCGCTTCACGCGAGCAAACGATTCCGTTGATAACTGAAGGTGGTGTGGATGCTCATGACACGAGGGAAACTTTCTCTTTGGGGCCAAGGCATGAGTTAGGTGAGTTTGTGTGCTTGTCCTCCCCTTTCAACTCGTGAATTGCGCTCATGCGCAAGAGCGAGTTTTAGATACGATGTGGGGAATAGCACTTGCTCGCTCGATTGGTCGGTTCCTGTATTTTTTTTTCGATTTTAGGCTTTTGAGTGCATTTGATAGTTTTTAGCGAGCAATAAACAAACGAAATGGAGAGCTTTGTTGCTAAGAATAGTGGTGGGGTGAAAAAGAAGCCAATGATAATCTTAAAAGAGTGTTTTTTTTTTCGTTTTAGTTTCAACAAGCGGCGCCAGCGACTGGCAGGCATGCAATGATTCACACTGAACAGAACAACCTTCGTTTTTCATAAAATTGTAATTCACAATCCTTGAACTTGAAAACAATCCGAAGATTCATTGAAAATATCACTTACTGCGAAGCGCACGGAGTTTACAGACGTTCAAAAGCTTTTTCTGTCATAGCGTGAGATTGAGGACAAAATCGATCATTACGTTTCGTATCGTGTGTCTTTCCTGTGTGAAGCAACAGAAGATGCCGGCGACTGACGAAATTACAAGTTAACACGAAAATCAGATAACACCTAAACAAACAATTTAGCTACCGATTTTCAGTGAATTTTTAGAGAACAATTTTCTTTTAAGTTTCAAGACAATTTGAAGATTCAAAATACATATTACGTACTAAAATGCGCAAGTTATACACCACAAAATTGATAAATAGGCCTGAAATGAAATTCTATCTTGTTATTAATTATACGTTGCCTAGCACGTGACTAAAATCTACCCAGGCGGAGATCCAAAATGACGGTGGCAGTCTTGGCTTAATTATATCACTCAAAACTCGTTCCTGTTTGTCTCATTTGATAAAGAGGAATCGTTAATGTTGTCACTAAGACAGTATTGCCTTGATTTTCTAATATTTACAATGATAGACAGTAAATTTCACTTTTCACCCACATTTACTTCTAACCTTTTCTTTTGAACCAGAAACAAAAATGATATACGTTTAAACTGAACACGACATCATCCACCCTTGTCAAATGTAATAGCATGACCATTTCAATTGTAATGCCTTCTTATCCCAACGTTACTTTGTTTCTTTGCTACATTAGCGAACACTGAACTACTGCTCGTACTCTACAATCAACCACAAAATTCCCTAAACCAGATAGCATTAAACATGAACCAAAAAAATCATGTGTCAATTCACGAGTTTGCTCACAGAGCACTTTGATTTCTTTTTAGAGTCGTTTTGTATACAACACATAATTTCATAAATGCAGATTTTTTTATCTTGGCTGACATGTACTCTGCATTCTATATTTCTATATATTTAATACTTAAAGTAGATAGTTAGTAAGCCGTTTTTGTAGAGATAACCTCAGGGATCTCTCTTTCATGTACTGTATGATTTTTAAACATATTTTCACTCGAATTAAGTACTATTAAAAGATGTCTCCGTAACCAAGTCACACATTGAAACGTATGATGGATGACGATGAAAGTTGACATAGAATATCAAAAACTTCGAGTTACTCTCTTCGAGCCCGATTTTAAAAGACTGCGAGGCTACTTTTGACAACAGTAATTAATGAAAGTAAAATTTCCGCAACTTTCTTAGAGTTTTGATGAAGCAGGCGTGAAATGGTTTTTGAAATAGGATGGCAAGACCTCCTCTAATCTCCGTTGTTGTTGAATTTTCAGAGATGGCTTTAGGTGGGGTGGATGCCCCAGAGCCTTCTTCAGAAGAACTCGGCAGACAAAAAGGTTTGTTTAGTTCAGTTCAATACGTACTTTCTGCGATATGTGTGGTATCGTATGTAAGTTGTCATTGTGTATAACCAAATACACGAGTTTCTTTCTTTTTGTGGTGTTGCAAGAAAGTACGATGTAGCAAGTAGCAGTTTCCAATTAAGTTGTACCTGTCGCGGGCATCCGTAGAATAAGTTTGTTTCAATCAACGTGTATCCGTCACAACCTCCCTCACCTTTCCCAGAATTGAACAAAAACCTAGGTCCGCCTCAGATTTTTATGTCGTAATCAAAACTATAACAAAATTCTCGAACGTGATTGATTATCACCAGCCCGATTTGAGCACCGATAGAACAGTGTACGTGTCATGCTCATATTGGACAGTGAAATAGGAGAGCTAAAGGGACACTACACACTTCATGCCTGCGTAAGTGGACACGTCATGTGCGCGCGCTGTTGTCTCGCATTTCATCAAGTTAACTGTTTTTTGTTTGTTTGCTTTTTTATGAAAACGTAAAACAGATGTCCTGTTCCTTTCTCAAATTTTGTCATAGTTTTGATTACTTAGTATCAGAACTTCCTTTCGTTCAAGTGATTAATAAATCAGAAACCCGCTTCGCACTCGTCCGATTTTATCAACCACTCGCATGATCACAGACCGAATTGGACTCCACTCGGTCCTATTACCATTAATAATCGCCGTAGTTGCTTCATTACGTCCATTGTTATTTTAATTCTAGGCTTGGATCGTCCAATTAAAACTTTAAGGATTAAAGAAAAGAAACAGATCATGATTTTCCTGAGTGGCAAAGATACTGGAGGTAGGCAGAAGCTCTTAACCCTTTACCTGCCATGAGTGACCAAGGAAAAATTTCTCCCCACAATATCAATACAACATCAGGCATAGAAGTGATCAAAATAAAGAAAATATCAATTCGGGGCAAATTGACAACATAAGAATTGTATAGCAGACAGTAAATAGAATTACTAATGAGATTTTGGGAGTTGAAGAGTTAACCGTTATCCGTGTTTTGAAATTTTTGCATTTTCCTTCATGAAAAACATTTTAAAAACTATTAAAACAAGTTTTTTTTAAATGCAGTGTGCAGTGGTGCACACAGTTTTCCCTCAAAGCTCTAAACCTGCAGCTATTAAAATGTTTCATTCAAGCAGTTTTCCATGTTGTTCTTAATTTAGGTTATTTTTACTGGCAAAGTGTAGCGGAAGAACTTGGTTTCCAAAATGAGTCCAGAGGATGGGAAGGAGCTCAAAATCCAATTGAAAGCCTTCTCAAGGCATTTGGCGAAAAAGAGGGAAGCACCATCAGAGGATTGATAGAAGCTATCAGAAAAGCTGGATTGACGCTTTGTGCGAGTCAGTTGGAAGATAAATTTGATACTCCAAGAAATGATACAACTGATTCTGTCCATAAAACTTTGGTTCAAATTGAAGTAAATGACAATTCTACTTCTGTTGATATACCTTCAGATCCGTGTAAAGAGGATGGTGCAACTGAATCGGTGGAAGGTGAAATAAATAATAAGGCTGATTCCGTTATTAATGTACCTAAGTACGCTGGAGAAGAAACTGATGCGAATGACATTGCTGATACAGCTGTATGAACAGCAATTCTGTATGAATAAGTAATGTTTTGCTAAATACATAGCCATAACCTTGTTTTCTTAGAAAGTTTCTTATCAGCGACTGAATTCCACGTTGCCATGTATCTGTTCCGTTGGTAACAGATTACGCTTACGGGGGATGGTGGGTAAGGTCGGGGTGAGGTAAGGTGATCCTTGTTTACTGATTCACCAAAAGTCACCCAAGCCTTCCAGAAGTTTGAATCGAATTGATAGCTATTATTACTTTCTTTAACTCATAATTCTATCTAAAAAATAATGTGCAAATTTCAAGTTATTTACAAATGCAATTATTTATGCTGCAATTTTAATTTAACAGCCTGATAACAATTGTCTGAATTTGAAATAATTTATGAAAATTTTGAGCGACGGCAGCAAAAATGTTGGATACATTATTCCTATTTAAAAATCCAAACGAGAAAAAAATTGCTTCTTCGATATTTGAGTAACATGTATCGTTAAAAATGTGCGATCAGAAATTGGCACCACAGGTTTTGAATTATGCATTTGTAAGTACATTACATCTGTTTTGTTTTTGTTCATCTTTCTTGACGCTTTTTTCCCTTGGTGTGTTGCTGTTTGTTTTTTACCTTATTTGACTTGAATATTTGTGATAAAAAGATGGCTAATGCATGAACGAAGAAAACTATCTAGTTCCTAATCATTAGATTTTTTAATAACCTGAATCTTTTTTTCGTAAAAGGAACATTCCTCCTTTATTTTCGTACTTGGTAGATCCAAGCATTTTGACTAAGTTTACAAATCATTGTTTTTGTTTAGTGTTTTCAGTATCATTTTTACGAGGAATGTACAGGTTCGTAAATTTTAGAAAATGGTTACGAGTAGATACTTGCAAAAATGTGACCAATCAATCCAATGTAGATCCAATAAATTGAAGGACTTTTCTAACTGTTATTTTTTATCCTTGTGCCGGCTGACAATTGAAAGCACTTCACTGTGCATTGATAGTGTTCTTAGTATTTTTTCTTCATACATTTTAGAAAGTAATATATCAGAAAATGATTTAAATATACTTATGAAATTGTCCTTAGCTTATACGTGAATGTTTGGATAACAGTTCCTTTTAACAACAAGTTGATTCAGTAAGTTAGTGAAACATAATTTCTATTTAAATTTGAAAAGACTCAAGTATAGTATCGAGAGAAAATACTTTTTCTTTCGGTATTTATGAGTTGGCTATCGGTTACATGTATCTACTAGCTCAGGTTGGTTATAATTAAAATAACCGATATCGATTTGATTGTAGCTAATTACCCTTAACATAGAGTTAATAAAGTTAAATGTTGGTGCTGACCAGCCTCTATTTGATTAGGATCATTCAGAGTGCCATAGACGAGATTTCAAGATGACTTCATGAATCAATTTCGCCCTGCCTCAATTTCCTCCTTTGACTTAAACGGGTCGACACTCTTGAGGGTTGCTATAACTCAAAATTCTGAACAGTTTCCTTAACTTTTTTTGTTCAAATTAATGATCGACTTGATGGAAAAAAACCATAGATTAGAGACATTTAACGGGAAAAATTTAGCTTGTACATCGCTGCAGCCGATACATCGTTTACATCCTGCGGGTTGTTGCTACCGCGATTGATTTCTGAGGCAAAATTGCGACGTTCAGCTATTTTTTACTCAGGAAAGTGTGTAATCTCATTAACTGTGTTTCCCATTCACATTTGCGGTGACACCAGAGTAAAAAAGTAAGTGTAAAACTCGAGATAAGCTGAAATCCCTTACCACTGGGCCGTCATAAAGTGGAGTTTCGAAGTTACATCTAAAGCATGAGAAAACGCTATCTAAAAGATGTATGTTTTGGGGTGTAATACCGTGTATAGAGAAAGAAATAAAAGGACAAAGAAAGCGAACACAGTAATCAGCAAGTATAGGGACATTCTCTCTTTTAACGAGGCAAGGCGTCATTGTTTTGATGCTAAGGTAACCGACCTCTGCTTTCATACCATTGTAATCACAGGACCCCGTTGTTGACATGAGATTTAACCATGCCGAAGATTACATCATGCATGAAAAAACAGAGTCGATCCTTCTGGAATATCATCTTGTCAGCCTTGAGAAGTGAAATACAAACCTCGTAATTATAAATATCATCAGAATAAAAAGAAAAATAGAGAAGATTCAATCCATTGAGCACCGCCTTCGATCGGTTAGGAAAGGCCGACAGATGGCAAAGTCTAAAACGCAAACAAGATCAGGCATGAGATAGCTTTTGATTGCTTTTTGACTGCACGCGCCACGAAAATAGAAGCGTGCGTGCATATTTCACAGAACTCGAAAACAAGAGCCTGTCACCTGCACTGTCAGTCAACAGTCAAGGACCGTCGAGGAAAATTACAGCGCTGACATAACAGGAAAAAACCCAGCCACTTACCTTCAATATTTTAACGATGAACTGTAGATTTTTTCATGAAATTGCTACGCTCTGTCAGAATCTTCAGTTACTGATGCTCATCTTCGAAATGGCATGCATAAAAATTGGTTTCTTCCATTCGCCAGCCACTGCAAAGCAATACAACTGAAAATGTGTGCAACGCTTCAAGATAGCTTAAAGTCTTTTTGAAAATTGAACCGAATGCTTATCTTGGTAAGTTTGTGACTCGTAACTCGGAGCGATGAATTGAGTTCAGGACGTGCAAACGAAAACTTTCTTTGATTACTTACTTGTTTGGTTCCAAAACACTTGACAAACTGTGCACAACGTACGCTTTCGCTTGTCGATAGCCTAAAGCTCAAACACATTCGAATGCTTTTTTCGGAAGTATTGAACCTCGAACCCTTGAAAGTTTCTTTGATTGGAAATTTCTGTATTTCTTGTAAATAATCAGGCTGTGCAAATCGCTAGGCGCTGAATTGTAATTCAGGTCTGGTCGACTCGGTCTTGAAGCGATGTGCATGTCATGTGATTTAAGTTTTGACGTTTTGGCGGTCGGAAGTATCACCAACTTCCGGTCGTTTCAATTCAAGGGAATTTGATATTTAAAACTCATTTATCACCTGGGGAGGGTTGAAAGGTTGTGTCAACACAAAATTTACCTGATCCCCGCACAATGGTCTATAATGTGTTTGATTTCTCCCTAATTGGCAGTCAATTTGCAATCAGTTTTTTGTTTAAATAGTCCCTCTTTGTACTCTTTTGGCAAACGATTGACCTACTCTGTTTCCCCCTCCCCGGTGAGAAATGTGACTAATGGTCTATTATGGCTACTGTCTTTCAGTCATTTGACTTGATAATCTACTCGCTTGCCCTAACGATTGCCACAGAATGAAGACATTTCTCAGTTGGATAATATGCCTATTTCATAAGGTGGGTATAGCTTGAAAAAAAAGGTTTCGAGTGACCATTAACAAAATTTACATGGGTTTCAAACGAAAAACTTATATCATATAAATGATTTAAATTTTTCAATTTGTTAAATTGCACGATCAAAAACCGTGGTGCACCTTGGCAGGAAAAGTAACTGCATTGTCGCTATTGAAGTTGCTGGCTCAGTTGAACGTAACTCTTCTAAATGAGCACAGTTGCTAATAGAGCATAGTACCTAATGAAATAATGTTGTGTTACTTGCGTCAGTAAAAAGGTGACACAAACTTTTCTGTCCTTGAAAAATAATTTTATCAAATCCAAAACACGATTGTGATTGAAGTATCGAAGGAATAAATAAACCGGCAAGAAAACCAACTCACCGACAATGGTATTAATGAAAGTAATCCCGCCAGGAGACCAACAGGAAACATCTTAATCGCAAATAAATTTAAATGCTTCTAAGCTTCTTGTGTTAAGAACACTCAGTCATTCGATGACCTTTGTGATGGTTACCGGTAGTATGATAGTTCGCCGTTGTCGGGACAAGGAACGAGAAGTTCTGTTGCAAGTGAGTATTTGTAAAGAGCTAAATGCTAGGATAAGGAAAGCTGCACCCGACCACATATTCAGCTTTTCATTGCATATACTTTCCACAATAACACTGAGGAAGGATGAGCAATTTTATTCCACTTCTTTGTTTATAATTTAAATTCTTCATTCTATGCAATTTCTATATATCAAGATGTTCGATTCCGAACTAGGCTACTCAACAAGTATAGCAAAATTTCCTTTCAAAAAAATGCATTTTACGTTGAGCTCTACGTTTCAACAAAGCTAAGAAATATTTACAAAAGTATTTGTTAAAATGTCCTTTCCAACTATTACCTATAGATCGATAAAATGTTTAACCACCTAGCATTTACTTTACAGTCGTCAATAACAGTTTAATTGAGGCATGGATATCGCTCATGAAAATTCGGCACGTTCCTAGACTGCACACGCAGTTATAAGGCTTCCACGACCCACTGACCTGTTCAAATACAGAGTAATCAGCACAATTAGTTTTACGTTTCTCTTACCCAGCGGCAGAGAAAATCAATTTGTAGAGAGGATGTTTATATCAGTTTTAAGAACACTTTGTTAAAGTCCCTTCAACGTAGAGATTGTTCTATGGTGGTTTTCTTTCCTTTGTTTTCAACTTGACCAGAGAAAGATTATTTCTCTCTTTTCTCCTTTCATTCAAGGGATTAGGTCATAATTAATTCTCATAGTACTTGTGAGACCTTAGCGGGTGTATTTTCTCGCATTTTTTTCCTCTAGGGCTTACATACATTTTGTACTGACTTCAGATTGGCTTCGCGCTGGGTTCAATCAAGCTGAGGAAGACATCGATTCGATAGAGTAGACTTTCAAGTTTTAGGCATTCTTTATTTGCATGTAAAAGTAGGTAAAAAATGGGTGCATTTGAACAATTCTAACAATAGTTAAAATACACTCTTCAAGCGGACAGATAACGAGGAGAACAAAAATGCCTAGTAAAGGTTATGAGTTGATTTTACACCAAAATCGTTCAGCTAAAGAAAGTAGACTAGCATGGCAGATAAAAAGGAGTAATTAAAGTTAAAGTAATTTTTTCTTTGTTTCAAGAGATTGATGAAATCAGCTTGATAGTTATCAAAAGAGAAGAAGAAAGAAATAAAACCTCTTCAAACATTCAGGCTTACTTACCGAATACCCCCTCCTCATTGACTTCTGATACCAAAACAGCAACCACGAAAATAGCGCTTGCAAATTGTGTAGTTGTTATCATGATAATTATAATCAACAAACTACTTGTAGGCATCTGTACCAGACGGAATCTCCTGGAAAGGTAATACAACTTTAAAAAGAAATCATTTTGACGGTGCTTTCTCCTAAGATTTATTCAAAAATATTTCTTTATACATTCTGCAGTCCGTTATACTAAACTCCTTACTCAACAACCCCTTATACTTTAGGAGCTATTGCATGTTGAATATAAGGCTGTGCTCGTTTGATCGAAGCAGACTAGTGTGACTAGAGTTTGAGGTTCGATTCCTCACTCAGAATTTTTTCTTTGTCCCACGGTCGTGACAAGACGGGAACACCTTTCTCTATTTCTTTACCGCGCTCAAAACTTACCATCTTTCCTATACTGTTTGCAAACATGACGCTATCGACATTGCTGATCCTAACAGTATGCAGGAAGCGTATCATATGAACTTCGTAATAGATCTCCCTCACCATAGAGCATCGGTGGTAGAGCATCGTAGCGCGGAATCCGAAGGTTTGAAGTTCGACTCCTCATAGGGACTCAGAATTTTTTCTTTGTCCCACTCACGTGACAAGACGAAAAAATATCTTTCTCTATTTCTTTACCGACCTCAAAGCTTACCATATTTCTAATTCTAGTGTGACTTGGCTTCCTAAATAAGGCAAACACGTTTCTTTTGCTTGGTACGAACGGTCATGCGTATGTGAGATGTTCTCTCCCAGCTCCGATTTATCTACATCATTGCAGAATTGATCAACAACTTATAGCAAAATTTGAGGTAATAAAAAAACACTCGACCAAAGCAGCACATAAATTTTAGCGTACAAAAGCAAAATGTGACATTCAAAGGTCAACGCTTAACCAATACATGCTCTGTAAATGTAAGTGTACGAGTGTATTCCTGATTGTACCTTGCTGAAACCCAAATCTTGTTTAACCACTTGGTCTTCTCAGTCTAAGTCTTCCCTTGCTGCTGGTCTACTCCTTTGGCAGGAATGGCGGAAGAAAAACTGATATTCTTAGTAATTGAAAACCTGAAGTGAAAAAGGGACGGTCCTATGTAAGACTGAAAAATTATTCATCGCGCGCGATTCCGCTTAGAGGCTGACCAATGAAAACAGAATGTTCTCACGGTTCCTATGAAATTCCTCAAATTACTAACAAGCTTAAATTATCCTGCTGTGTATCTCTCTAAATAGGGAATCTCTAGGAAGGAAACGAA